TTACTTGATAGCAAATTCGTCCACGGAGTAGTTGAGAAGAGCGACGGCTAGGTTTCTGAATTATGTTTTATATTTAATGGATGGTCAAAATCAATCATGAATAAAAGTCGTGAGAAGATATCTTCCTCTGCATCATGAGAAATTTCACTTGAAGATAAGCACCTTTTTCAAAACCTGAATTCGTTTGGCTGATGAATAGTTTGTTTTAATTATTGAAGAGATCCTTAAATCATTTCACAAAACGCAGTAACTTGGTATTGAAATTTGTCCATTCTTTTCGAGATATAGAGATTGTTTCCTGATTTTGTTCCATTTGTAAACTTCATGGAATCGTTAGTCTTCTTATCAAGCCTCTCTTAACAGATCATTAACTATTGGTTCATAAGAAGTTAATATTAAAACTTGATTATCAAACCCAACTCAAATTCTGAAACTATTGGTTCATAAGAATTTGCACCTCAAATTCACATTGCCATTCGAAGACGAAACCCATAAACAAAATAACGAAGTGAATGTCATAAACACGCGCTAAATATCAACATAATATTCAATATCTTGACCCGGAGAGAATTGCAAAAAAGAATCAGGTAAGAAAAATCGTAAAGAAATATGGTGTTTCATTGTTGGGACAATTACAAAAATGCCACTTTTTGTGTGCACATTTGCAAGAATGCCACTTAGGGGTGTCCATTTACAAAAATGCCACTAATTATAGATTTATAAAACATATATCTTAAAATTCTAAACCCTAAAAAATGTTTTGACATCTAAAACCCCCTAAACACTCAAAACTAAACCCTAATAGAACATAATTAACCCAAACATAAATAATATAAAGAAAAAATAATTTTGAAAAAGTGGCATTTTTGTAAAGATTTCAAAAGTGTGGCATTTTTGTAAAGTGGCACTTGAAAAGTGGCATTTTTTGAAATTTCTCTTCATTGTTGAAGATGGGAGAGATTGATGAGCAAGAACGGCGATTGATGTTTAATTGTTTGTTTTGAATTTTTTTAATTAGAATATATTAACCTATTATTAATCATTAAAAAAGAGGCAAAAATGTCAATATTAGCCTAATTTCTTAATTAAAAAAAAGGTGAATGGTAGTTACTTCCTCTAATGTGTTTATGTTACTATATGCAACTAATTAAACCCTGCAATTGCAAATAATCATTTCGAGTTACAACTCAAGCTAGCTATCACACTGGATAAATCAAATACTAGATGGCTATTTCGATGAAAATGTTGTTTCATATATTTTTGGAATTAAATTTTGATATGTCTAAAATTTTCGTCGATCCCTTTATACTTTTTTTTTGTTAAAATGTTAAAATTTATTACCAATTTAATGTTTTTTTACAACAATACGGGAAACGAAGAATACAGAAAGACAGAAAACTACAAACATTGGCAAAACAACAACAATAACAAAGTAACAAACATGAACAAACGATATGGTACACACACGTCAAAACAATCTCAGAAGATCCTTGATGTA